GCAGGCGGCCGCCATGGCCCAGCTGCTCTCAGGGCAGACCCTGCAGTCGCTCCAGGCGCGTGTGGCGGTGCCGACGGACCTGATGGGTTTGAGCACCAAGGCGGGACACTGCCAGATGTCGGAGCTCATCAAAAAGCTCCACAAGAGCCCTCACCGAGCCATGTTCCCGGCTGGCGAGTCCCTGCTGATGCTGCGGGTGAGTTGAGTGACAGATCGAGGGATGCGTCCATCCATCCATCCACATGTGGGTGTGTGTGCGTGTGTGTGTCAGGAGGACATTTACGCGTGGGCTCGCGAGGCGCACATACTGATAGCGGCCTTCAACGACCGTGAGTCGGCCGCCAGCCGCAAGGGCGTGTCGCTGCTGAGCTTCCGCGCCCTCGACGTGCGCAGGAAGCGGCTGCAGGGCCTGGTCGAGACCTTCGTCAGCAACACACTCGTCGACAGGACACAAACCCTGCTCAAACAGGTGGGTGGTGGGGGGGCAGTGCAGTGATAAGGGGAGACGAACACTAAACCATGTGAGTGCAGCTTGAGATCCTTGAGGACGAGGGCCAGAAGCTGCTGCGTCAGGCAGCGGAGGGTGCGTCAGAACGGGCCAAGGGCAAGGAGGGCTCCCGCGTGACCGTCGAGGCCACCGAGAAGTTCCTGCGCAAGATCACCGTGTCGATCCCCGCAGAGGAGAGCCTGCGGACACACCTCAAGCAGCACGACGAGCTGCACGACCTCATCGAGTCACAGACATCGGTGCTGAGCAGGGGCGATGGCGAGGGCCTCAGCCGGGAGGACCTGCAGGCGCTGCTCGACCTCTATAACAGGATTGTGGTATGTCAGCGGGCCGGGGCGGGGCGACCACACACGTCACAGACAAACGTGGATGCCTGTCTGCCTGTCTGTTCGTCCGTCTGTCTGTCTGTCTTTGTTGTTCGCTCAGAGGTGTCCTTTGACGATATCTGCCCGTCTGGAGGAGACCTGTCGGTCCTTCATGCGGCTGGCCTGGCGGCAGGCAATCCGGTCCCTCATGACACCAGGTAGGTGATGCACAATGACGACTGTGTGTGGGGTGAGTCCATGGCGCCTCCACCCATTGTGTGTTGTCTGTCTGTCAACTGTGTGGTGTGGTGTGGTGTGGTGTGTTTGGTGTCAGAGCGCCGCTTGGACATGGTGGACAGGACGCCGGCCAACAAGATCGACGCGACCGTGATGGACACCCTCAGCCCCCGCCTGCAGACCCTCCAGCAACTCCACGACCTGTCCACCAGCTTCGGCGTGCCGTCCACATGGAACGAGAGCATCTTTCTCGTGCAGCTGCTGCAGGCCGCCAAGATCTTCCTCTCCGAGGCCAAGACGAGCATCGACGGGTGGTGCAAGCGTCGGCTCACGATGGCCAGCTTCCTGGTCAATGTGTCGCGCGAGATGGAGGTGCTTCGGGGCATCCACGAGAAGAAGCACAACGTCCGCATAGACGTGGAGCTGCAGAACCTCTCCGTCGAGAAATCCGCATGGAGCGCCGCTGGTGCCACCGGAAGACTGCTCAAGGTCCCCTCCCCTCCCTCCACGAACTGGAACGAACGGGCCCTGGAAGGAAGTGGCTGCCTGCCTGTCTTGGTGTGTTGTCTTGTGTTGCGTGTGTGAGCAGGGTGTGGTGGTCTATGACGCCAAAACAGGGAAGGTCAAGCAGCGCGTGACGCCAGCGGGCAGGAACTGCATCCAGGAAGACGTCAGCGAGATCCTCCGCGCGCAGAAGATCGACGCAGCAGACCTCGACGAGGCGGCCACAGCGGCCCCGAGCAGCACCGACGGCGAGGACCTCATCAGCAAGCTGCTCAAGATCCGCTTCGACCTCAAGAAGCAGCCGTCGACAGAGGAGGGCCCCGACAGCAAGGGCCCGCTGCGTGTGGGCGTGGAGCAGTCGATCCGTCGTGCGATTATTGTGCAGATGCAGCCGCAGTCGCTGTTCATCGGGGCGGCCAAGATGGTGGCCATCGAGAAGACTCTCGGCCAGCTGGAGGAGGAGCTCTACCAGGAGGCCGGCGGGAAGGTCTCCAAGCAGTACATGAAAGGTAAGGATAAGGAAGGCCCGACACGGCTTCTCACCCACCGTCCCCTGTGCTGTGCTGTGCTGTGCTGTGTGTGATGTCATTCATGTCAGCCTACGAGGAGAAGCTGATAGATCTGCACGAGAAGGGCCTGAGTGAGGTCGAGCGCCTCCTCGCACAAGCATCGCAGTCGGCCGCAGCGGCAGCCGCCCCGCTCGCACCGCCCCCCTCCTTCTCATTCGGCCCCTTCGCTCACACCTTCGCCCAGCCACAAGCATCGGGCAGCTTCCTCTCCGCCCTTGATGCCGTCTCGGGCGGCCGGGGGATCCCATCGCACCCTCTGGATCTGTTTGAGGGAAGCGGCCAGGGGCCACCCGACTTCAGCATTGGGGAGGTCGACCGCCCCGGCGATGACTTTTTGGGTCAGATCCTGGCTGGCCCTGAGAGCCCTCGCGCCAACTTCTCGCCGCCCGGCACCCCGATTGGGAGTGCGGCGGGTGAGGAGGGTTCTGGCGCGGAGGCCATCGTCTGGCGAGGCACACTGGAGAGGGATATCAGGGGGAGGGCGGGGCCGCCACTCGTATTCCCCGCGAGCATTGTGTCGCTTGTCGAGGAGGGGCCGCCGGAGCTGCGGGCAGCGCTGGAGGGCGCGGGCAAGCTGACTTTTGACGGTGCCATGGGGATTGCTCGCTTTGCGGATTTCATCCATCCGGGGCGGAGCGACGGGTGGTGCAAGAGCAAGGCGAGGGACCTGGTGGCGGTGGCGGTTGGGGGGCCGTGGATGAGCCTGGAGCACAAAGACTTTTTGGACTGGCTGCGGCCGCCACATGTTGACGTCAAGAGCACGGTGGCGCCGCAGCACCTCAACACGCAGGAGTTCCAACACCTGCAGAGCAAGGCCCTCACCGACACAGTCAAGGTGGGGTGGGTGGACATACACACACACACACATGGAGGGAGGGAGGGAGGGAGGGAGGGACGCACCACGTGTGTATGTGTGCGTGTGTTGGGTGCGTATGTAGGTGGCTGCTTTTGTGGGCGACTGCAAGGGCCACAAGCTGAAGCTGTGGGTCATTCCCCCCGTGTCAGGGCTCAAGCGCTATCTCCCCACCTCCATGCCATTCAACAGACACGCCGTCACCGGCGTCCTAGAGATACCAACCGCTCTCACGTAAGCACCATCCCACCCGCAGCACCCACCCCCACACACATCCATCCATCCATCCATGGGGTCAGGCGTGACGGCGAGCGGTGCTTGGGCCGCCCCTACCCCGCCTTCACCCGGACCCGTTTCGCAAGGCACGTCCGCGGCATCAACGACGACCTCCGGCGCAAGGCGAGCTCCTCATCCCAGGATCAGGCCGCCCAGACCTTCGTGCTGGATCTGCCCGACAGCCAGTTTCGGTGGGTGGATTCCTTCTCGGGCAAGGTGTGGGAGCCAGAGCAACCCAAGACCACCTTCCTCCCACACGAGACGCCCCGGTCGCCCGTGCCATCGCCTTCGCCGCCCCCGCCCGCCGCGGCCGCGTCGAGCGCCCCTCGCCAGTTTGACCATGGTCTGGTGGACCAGGACCCTGTCATGATGGACGTGTCGGCGGTCAATGGTGTGGAGGCTGATAGGCGGCGGGTAGAGGACGATGTATACCATCCTGGAGGAGGTGTGAAGATCCCGACTCCGCCAATGTTTGAGGAGCGGGCCAGGAGGAAGTCACCGTCGCCTGCAGCACCCCCAGCACCAGCACCCCCGCCCCCACCACCAGCAGTGTCGAGTGTCGCTGGTGGTCAGGTGCCGCAACCACCGCCACCGAGCGAGCAGGAGGACTCGTCCAGTAGCAACCCTCTCGACATCCTGCTGGCCCTGGCCAAGTCCCTGCCCCTGCAGCCGGGGGACACTGCGACTGCTGCGGGTGCCCCGTCTGTTCCCAGCCCTCAGCCACAGCATTTCCCTTCAGCTGCTGCCGCAGCCGCACCATACACCAGCCCCGCGCCACAGGCGCTTATCCCTGGCCTCGGCGGCATGGGACCACAACCGTCCTACGACCAAGGTGGTGGAGCTGCCCGTCGCGTGTCCCCGGCTCCCTACCCCAGTCCGGCTGTCGACCCATTCGCAGTCAATCTCTCGTTCGGGGCTCGGCAGGCACCACCTCCCTCGGAGGACATCTACACCCCGGCCGATGCAGCACGGTGGGAGCGACGGCCGTCGCCATTCGGAGGCTACCCAAGGGATATTGGTCGTTCGTCGCGCGAGAGGGGCTGGAGAAGGTCGAGCGATCGGGGAGGGGGTGGCGACCATCTGGATCAGCAGCGGTCGTACGCCTCCCCGCCGACACAGCCGTATGCGCCAGAAAGGGGGCCGTCGCCATATGGCCATCCCTCTGGGGTTCAGTATGGCTTCATGCAGGGCGGCCAGGGTGGGCGTAGGGGTCATGATGAGAGGGGGAAGGCGCCCCCGCCGTGGAGTCAGCAGCCGCCGTGGCAAAGGGGGGGCGGTGGTGGTGGTGGTGGTGTGGGAGGGTACCAGAGATGATTGAGATTGAGATGATTGGTGTCTAGCGGTTGAGGGGGTGGACAGATAGAGGAAAGGCGGGAGCCGCCTGGTGGGGTGTGTGTGTGTGTGTGAGAGAGAGAGTGTGTGTGTGCGGGACGGACCCTTTTTCCCCTGTATGTGTCTGTGTGTGTCCATCCCAGCCTATCCCATCCATGTCTGTCTCTATTTGTTTGTGCATTCCTGGATCAGATCAATGCGTTGGTGTGGGTGGCTGCACGTGTGTGTGTGTGTGTGTCACCGACCGGTGTAGACTCCCTCCCTGTCTCTTCCTTCCGACTGACTTACGTGCTGAATGAGCCGCTCCACCCATTACAGTACAGTAAGTCCTGTTGCCCTTGCGCGTTGACACACGGCCCCCCTCCCTTCACACACACACACATACGCACCCCAACCAGCCCCACCCCATCACCCGCCGCCAGGCACTCAGGGTGCGAGTACGAGAAAGTATCTGATCCACCCCGCCACCTCTCGTGGCTGTGCATCGGTAGCAGGGAAGCGCATGACCATCCTGTCGTCGCCCTTGGCCTCATCACATGACACCAGGGGCTTCTGCAGAGACGTCAGCTGAGGAGGGAGGAGTATCAGCGGCCACCCACGGTCGCGAACCTACAACGCATCCATTGAAAGGAAGAGAAGGCTCCCCTGGGACCTGCCTGCCTGCCTGTGTGTGTGTGGTCAGGTGGGGCCACTTGCCCTCGTCAGTTCTTCCAGGTTCGCGACTGTGGCGGTGGGCGTGGCGATGGCCACCACTTGTCGAGGGCGCGAGGCGCGGGGCTTGTCCTGACCACTCAACCTACACGCAATATATTGGATGGATGCGAGACACGTTCACGCGAGAGAGAGAAGGTGAGAGTGAGCATGGTGGGTGTCATTGACGGCCGGGCAGGCAGGCAGGCTGACGTGGATGTGAGTTGCATCTTGATGTCGATTTCGGCGCTGTTGGCCCAGTGGTCGGCCTCCACCGGACACACGCTTAGAAAGGCCGTCCTCGACAGCTCCTGAGACATACACACACAACCTTGCCCAAGGCTGCAGCGGCATGGCATCCTCCTCTCTCTCCCCAGTCCCCCTTCACAGGTACCTGAAGGTGGGCAGTGTTGTTGGCTGGCCCGTCCCTCTTGTAAGCTGCTTGGGGGTACAGGACGACAGCTGGGGCTGAAGACAGGCACCCAGGGCCGACAATGAGACAATGAGACAGGCACACGTTTCGCCTACCGTTCTTCGTTGGGGCCAGATTGGCGAATGACAACGGGAAGCCTGACACCACAGTCAGCGCGTCGCTCCGCTGAGCCGCACGCTGCAAACAGACAGACAGACAGACAGGAGTCTGACCAAATTGTCCCAGCCGTGCCGCGAGGAGAAAAGGTGACCTGGATCGCGTCGAGGGCCGCAGCATCCAAAGCAAGAGGAGGCGCCTCACCTACGCCCAACTTCTGCAACTCACGCACCGAACCATCCATGAGAGGAGGATGTAGAGGATTTCATGGCATGCGCACGCACGTGTGTGGGCGGTGCGGCGATGATGTAGATGACGGGGCAGGGGAGGGGGAATGAGGGGGCGCTCTTCTTGAGCCGCTTCACCACACCACCCACCGTGTCTGTCGGCACCACAGACGGGGGCAGCTCACCCACCACAGACGGCGGCAGCTCACCCACCGCCTTCTCTGCGCAAGGAAATGTGCCAACCGAGCACTGCTGCATGGAATGACACACATCTCTTTCCTTCCTGCTGACCTGGTGGCTCTTTTGGCGGCGGTGGTGGTGCTGCTGCCTCTTGGCTGGCCGGCTGCTCGGCATGCCTAAACGAGTCGATGTCAGAGAGAGGGGGGCAGAGCGCATGAGACACTCATTCCCTGAATCACGCTGCCTGCAAATGGCCTGTCTGCTCCCCCGACCTCATGGCTTGGTCCTCTGGTGGGTGATCGTGGTCAGCCGGTGGCACGACATCCGGCTGCGCATCAGTCTCCCCCTTTGCAGGTGCTTCTTCTGGGATTTCCCTCGCAACCTCCCCTGCAGCAACTTCGGCGGCTGCATCCGTGTACCGGGCCGCTTCTTCAGCGGCCGACGGCTCTTCTTCCTTGTCCATTTCGGCCGTTTGTGGCGCCTCAGCTTGTATGTCAGGCTGGGCTGTCTCCCCCGGGCTTCCGTCATCTGGTTGCTCGGGCTCCCCCTGCTGTCCCTCGCTTTTGCTCGGGTGGGGCTTGTCAGAAGAAGCCGGGGCCTCAACGGTATCTTGGGCCGGTTCGGCTTCCTCCTGCTGCGCTGATGCATTCACCTCTTGCCCTTGCCCGGCCGTTTCCCCCCCGGCCTCGGGACGAGTCTGATCTTCATGGGGCTCAGAGTCTGCCGCAGCAGCAGTGGCTTCTTGGGGCTGAGATTCTTTCTCCTGCTCTTCGTTGTCGTGCGGGACATGATCCTGCTGCTCGGCAGGCTGCTCGGATGGGACGGCAGCGTCATTCATGGGGGAGGGAGGGGAGGACCTCGACGGGCCCCCAAAGCCGTTTTGGGGCCGATTCCCCCCTCTCCACTCGTCCATCACTCACTTCTGCTGTTAACAGCAGGATTCCTTCTTGATCTTTCTGTCGTCAACGTCATTCTTCCCTCTACCACCATAGAGAAGCAGCGCCCCCAGGTCAGACGGCGATTCCAATTGGGCGATTGCCTGTGAACATCATGATGAGCGCCATTGTGGCCCAGGGGCGAACCGGGTATGTATGCACTTGTTGCAGGCCGCTGCGCCCTCATGGCAGGGTGTGAACATCCCCCTCTTCCGTCCCCGCGAGGCTCCCCCTGAATCCCCCAGCCCCTCATGTGTGGCGAGGTACTGTCCAATCCAACGGCCCATGCCTCCTCTGTCATGCTTCATGCGCATGGCTGAACGAATCGATGGCCGGGTGTTGTGTTGATATGTGTTGATATGTGTTGTGGTTTGCAGCAGCAGCAGCAGTCGCGGCTTTGACATTGCTGATGTGCTGGAGCAGGGCTATGCCAGGGACACATGTGCTGAATACCTCCGGTCTGTCTGTCTGTCCGTCAGCCACGCCCACACAACTTAACAACTTCTCCGTCGCCTTGCATGCCATGCGTGTGCATGTGGATTTGATTTGCGTGTGCAGTCCGTTCCGTCGAGGGTCCAAGATGTTTCGGTTCTACGTGTCGAGGAGCGACGACAGGACCGAATACAGCCTCTATACTGACGACCAAGACGGGTATTGTATTGCACACACACGGACACCGGCCGGCATGCATCATGTGAACGAACGCCTGCTTCGGGCTGGTTGGTTGGTGTCCGTTGGTTGTGTCATGGTTCAGGTTTGTCATGCATGCGAGGTTTCTGTCTGACAAGAAGGTGCACTTTGTGCCCTACCACCCCGAGGACAAGCTCTTCAACATTGACACACCCGCATTCGTCATGACGTGCGTCAGATAGATAGGCCACACACACACACACACACGCACACACCAGCCGGCCCACATGTCTGTATGCTCGTGTGTGTGTAGGGCGTCGAGGGATCAGTCGGAGTGGACCCTCACCAACCCTGAGTGCGAAGGTGACCTGGGACAGCCGCATCCCTCCCTGCAGAGTGCTGGTTGATCCGTGGATACCGGCCTGTGTTTGTGTGAGTGCAGCGTGCTACTACCGCGGCGTCAGCAGGAGGTGTACGGGGTCACAGAGGAGTGACAACCAACAGATTGTGCACTGCTCACACGTAAGCAACCGAGACGACAACAAGACAAGACACAGGACAGCAAGGAGCCCACGAGCGGCTGTGTGTGTGTGCAGAAGGTGTCGAGCATCGGTGAGGGCATTTTCAACTCGATGGAGGTGGCGATACCCGGCCTTTATACAGGTGAGTTAGGTGGGGGGGGATCGACATGTCTACGTGGCATATATGCATGGTGATTGATTGCTTGATGGATGGCAACACACCAATCACACACCAGATGGTGCGCGGGTGATCTGGTGCCCCAAAGAGGGCTACCCAAGACTCGGTGAGGGAGGGACCTAACTGACCGGCGACAGACAGACACACCACAAGCAAGACTGTATGCACACAAAATAGACACGGTCTTCTCTTTTCAGGTGCTCCGTTGCCCGACGGGTCGCACCATCCTCATGCAATAAGGCTCAAGACCAAAGAGCCGCACTGGAACGAAGGCACGCACACACGCACACACACACATGTGCGACGTGAGAAGGAACATCTGTGTGTGCCCGTGTGTGTGTGTGTGTGTGTGTTGCAGAGATTGAGAGTTTGGTGCTTGACTTCAAGGGGAGGATGATCCAGCCATCGGCAAAGAACTTCCAACTCACACTCGTCAAGAAGCGTAAAAACCACAGACGACGAAGTCAGTCAGTGGGCTGCCTGCCTGCCCACCCTCCCTCCCTCCCTCCTTGCCCATCCCTCTGTCCCCTCTGTGCCCTCTGTCTGTGTGTGTCAGCTGACTACATCATCCTGCAATACGGCAAAGTGACCTCCAACGTCTTCATTCTTGACTTCAGGTCGGTGACAGATACACACATCATTATGGCTGCTGACCCACCTGTTTGTCTCTTTATCTCAGGTATCCGCTCTCGATCGTGCAGGCCTTCGCCATCGCACTCACCACATTCTCATGGAAATAATGGGCGCGAGGGCCGGGGGGAGGGCTGGCGCGCCCTTGTCGCTTGTTCGCGTTGCTTGCTGCTTGCTGCTGTCTGTCTACCTGTCTCCCTCCCTCATTCCTCTGTCTCTCTCTCTGTCTCTCTCTCTTTCCTTCCACTCTTTTGCTGACATTCCTTCTCACTCGGTGTGTGTGCGTATCTATCTGGGCTCTTGTTCTGCTGAGGTGCGGAGCGGTCGGGGCCCAGCTGGGAGACAGACGCATGCGGGCGTGGCGCGGTGTGGGCATGTCTTCTTCTCTCTCCCTCCCTCGGTGGCTGGCGTGCATGCCTTACGTGAGTCGGAAGTATCCCGTGTTTGTGCAGGCAGACATAACAGACATACAGAAAGACATACAGACATGCGCCTGAGAGAATCTGTTTGCCATCGACGAGAAAAACGCAGAGTCAGCGAGAGAACCGCAGGGCCCGGTGTGTCTCTACACCCATCTTCTCTGCAGATTCAGGTGGAATGACTTGAGCGTGGAGACATTCCGCGGCTGCACACAAACACGTACACACATCATGAGCACCCACCTACCAGCAACTCAGCGGCTCGGACAAGACTCACCTCGTAGAAGGCAGGCCCGGGAGCAGCTCGGTGCACGAAATCCGTCCTGACACACGGACACGCAAAGAGAGAGTCCCGATGCGATGCATACCTCCGTCCATCGAGACCCACCTGCCGCTCTGTGATTGGAAGACAGACACCACTCCCCCCCTCGCCCATGCCTCCACCGTCTCCTGCCGCGGGCTGTACGCACCAGGTCCCGGGAGGTGCTGCGTCTTCTTGCGAGGCAGGTGGGCCTTGCCGTGCTGGAAGGCCGCCAAGCCTCGCGTGGAGAAGGACGGCTTCCACTCCGCCCACTTGTAGGACTCGCGGGTGTCGTAGGCACCCGGGCCGGGCAGACGGGCGCCATCTCCCCCTACGGCGCCTCTACAAACATGGAAGAGACACACACAACATGGGTGACTATGTCTGGCAGGGGTGGGTCATGTCTCTTGCCCCCTTCTCACCGTATCTCCCGGACGAATTCGCCGTCAGGTGCAGTAAGAGTGGAGAACTCGCCGGCGATGGGGAACTCACGATTGGTGGACATACTGCATTCCGCCAACAGTCGCCTGTCTATCCGGTCTATCTATCAGGTTTGCGTACACTTTGTGTTGGCCTCTGGGTGCGTAGGATGGGTGTGGCCGTTCCCGCAGAGGCGACCGTGAGACAGGGCTGCTCCCGGGGGACGGCGTCTTGGCTGTCGGCGGGGAGGGTGCACGGTCGGTCTTTGGTGAGCTGTCGAGACGCGCTTTCCTGCAAGCCAAGACAAGACACCAGCAGCACATAGCCCAGTAGAAACTAAGACTTTTCGTTCGTGAGTGTCTGATTGGTTGACGTGCCTCTTTGCCGAGGAGGCTTTGCCCCTTGGTGGGGGCTCGCGCATTGGAAAGGCCCTTGGGATGTCGTAATAGTCTTCAAAACAGACAGAAAAACCGGAAAAGCGCACGACTCTCCCTGCCTGTCTCACTCATCCACGCATGGCTTGCCGACCTACCTGGTGCCGGTCCTTCCGTGTGTCTCATCCGCAGTGTCCTCTCCGACCGAGACCGAAAGTTGCATCCCCCCAGCCCCCTGCCCTCTGCCTGCGTATACACATGTGTGCGCAGAGACACGTACAGCCGCGATTGCGTCACGCAGAGGTGTCCTTACGGGTGCGTCCGGGCGGTGAGAGATATCGTAGCTGCCCGGGCCTGGCTGAGGGGCCTTGAACAGTGTTTTGGGGTTGCCGGATGACCGGTGGCGAAACGACGACGAGGCGCCCGGGACCCTGCTGTGGGCCTCGCTGCTGCGACTCGATTGTAGCCTGTTGTGGCACAAGCAAAGGAGGATATTATTGTTTGCGCGAGTCGGGGAATTGACAACCTCCCATGCTTACGGGTCGTATTGCCCCGGTCCAGGCCCGGCCTTCGGGCGAGTCATGGATTGGGAGAATCGATCGCTCTGACGACAGCATGCAGGCAAAGTGAGCGGATGAAATGACGGAAGGAGGGAGGGGGAAAGAAAGATAACCTCGGTTCGATTCTCCAGTCACCTTTGAAATGAGTCCTCCGAACCCTTTGCGATTGAATGTCTCCCTCTCGAGCTGGACCGATGGGGACGTCGAACTGCCCACAGAGGTGTAGGCCCCTGGACCGGGATTCTCATCCTGCATCCCCGCATCCGAACGAACATGCAATGCATCGTCTTACATATGTATGGCGGGGCAGTGAAGTGAATGAACGCTCCTCGGTTGTTTGCTTACGAAAAGGTCCATGAATCGCAGAGAATTGGAACCAAATCCCTTCTTCTCACGCGCGCCGGGATAAAGAATGGTCTCTGCCTTGCGACAGACGGACAGGCAGACAGATAAGTAAGGCAATCGACGAGTGAGTGCATTTGCCGGCGGATCAGCCGGCCTCACCTTTGTGGGTATCGATGGGTTGGATGGAGGGGGCAGCGGTGAGGTGGGGTCGGTAGGCCACGGTCTTGTGCGGCAGCCACGGGCCAGCCTCCCTTCAGGCCTCTTGCCGCACGTCCGGTAATTGTGCACCAACTCTTCCGAACCCTCGTCCGCCGTCGCCATTGCAGCCGTGGGTCCGTTGTGGGTCTCTTTGGCTCACACCACAGTGCCACAATGAAGGGGTTTGCTTGAGCTAAGCTTGCAGACGCAAACCCTACACCCGGAACCCCACAACCCCACGGATAACGTCGCCGTCTGCCGTGTTTCGTGTCGCAGGGGCACCAGCAGCACCTGCCGTGACGGCTGCCGACCTTCATCTTTCATCTTCGACGGGTCGTCCTTGACGGCCGCCACATCGTGCCTGTCGTTTGTCGTCTTGTCCACGTTGGCAGCATGGCAGGGATGGGTGCGGGGTACGACCTGAGTGTCGGCACCTACTCGCCCGACGGCCGTGTCTTCCAGGTGATGGAGTGACATCATCGAGGAGAAACGACCTGACGCCCGGGGTTAAACATGCATAGGCTGGTGTGCTTGTGTGTTGGTGTGTGTTGGCGCAGGTTGAGTATGCGGCCAAGGCGGTTGACAACAGCGGCACGGCCATCGGGCTGTGCTGCAAGGACGGTGTGGTGCTGGGTGTGGAGAAGCTTCTGGCCTCCAAGATGCTGGTGCCGGGCACCAACAAGCGCATCTACGCCATCGACAAGCACATCGGCATGGCAGTGGCGGGGCTGGTGGCCGACGCCAGGCAGCTCGTCAAGCTGGCAAGGGAGCAGGCCGAGGAGTGGAAGCAGCGCTGGGGCGAGCCCATCTCCGGCATGTGCCTCTCGGAGCGAATCGCCGCCTATGTGCACGCCTATACGCTGAACTGGGTCTACCGCCCCCACGGCGCGTCCATCCTCATTGGCTCACTGAACCCAGAAGACGGCAGCGCCCCCTGCCTCTACTGTGTGGAGCCGTCGGGGTCGTGCAGCAAGTACTTCGGGTACGCCCTGGGCAAGGGCAAGCAGGCAGCCAAGACGGAGATCGAGAAGATCAAGCCGAGCGAGCTGACCTGCCAGGAGGCCCTCTTCCACGCCGCCAAGATTCTCCACCAGGTACACGACGAGAACAAGGACAAGGAGTACGAGCTCGAGGTCACATGGATCTGCCCACAGTCGGACTTCATTCACCAGCAGGTGCGTCTTGGATGG